AAAGAACCTAGGATTTGATGGTTAATTCCACCGTAAACAGTGACATAGTGGGAAGCGGTTGTGCATACCATGTCAACCGTTCTCATAGAAATTCTATAAATAGATGAAGCAAACTCATTTCAAAAGGTCAAAAACATTATACTTGCAAAATTTCACAATGTTCTGCCCGCGCATATGGCTCCTTTGTACGAGACTACCAAGTAATGTAATTCAGTCAATCATCAATAGTCCTTACATATTGTAATTATGACTTTGTGAATAATAAAGGACATGTACCGTCCAGGTCGTAGTCCGACCTGATCCCCTTATCGGCGACAGGGCGATCACAACCCTCTACTCGGTATTTGACCGATTGAAAGCTCAGCCTGGACCTAGTCGGTTAGAACCTGACTCGGCTTACTAGCTCGATCCCACTCGCCCATAAGGGGGATACTCGGCATTTGACTGACTGAAAGCTCAGCCTGGACCTAGTCGGTTAGAACCCGACTCGGCTTGCTAGCTCGATCCCACTCGCCCATAAGAGGGATACTCGGCATTTGACCGACTGAAAGCTCAGCCTGGACCTAGTCAGTTAGAACCCGACTTGGCTTGCTAGCTCAATCCCACTCGTCTATAAGGGGGGTACTTGGCATTTACCCGACTGAACCCTCAGTATGGACCTAGTCGGTCAGAACCCGACTTGACTTGTCCTCACTCGCTTCGCGCCCTCGTGATAAGAGCAGTTAAGGGAATCCCTTCATTCTCGGGGCCCAACAGGCCCATGAACAAGGTACCATAAAACCCAAAACCCTAGAGTTGAGAAGACAAATTACACTTTTGAATGCTCTGTCTTTGAGGCTTGACCTAGGAAAAAACCCTAATGCACCCTTTGGTCGGAACAGGACATGATTTTTGTAATTCATATAAGTGTTGTTCATTCAATTCATCTTAATATCTATATGCATGGAACTTGTTTGGTGATCATCATCAATGAGCATGTGAAGATCTCTACATTTTAATTTATGTTCAAATTATTGATCGGTAACTAGAAAATTTATCATTTATACCGAAGTATTGCTAGTTTAGATAAAAAAGAACCTATAAACAAAAATTACCACAAACATGTTAACTTTGATTTTATATAAAGTCGTATCTTATTTTAAGGGAAACTTTTATCATAAATAAAATAAAATAAAAATTTCACTAACAATTACGCATATTAGAAATTTGTTTCGAGAATCAATACAAACTAATTCTGAAATAAATATCTTCTTACAATAATCCAAACCAATAGATAAAGTTTTTATTTATTTATTGTGGGGCTTAGAATTAAAAAAGTTGTTTGAATATAAAAAAAAACCTCTCATGTTTCCGGCATAAGAAAAATGTATAACTTAATTAAACACTCAATTGTATATTATCATGATTTCAATTATGATGGTATTATCAACACTAATTATTTGATATCGGAAGCTCATCGTTATCAAACTTTTGCATACCTTAACAAGCATAAAAAAAAATTTGTTCAAAAAACATTTAAATTCAAACAACAAAATAACCATATAAACACACACAAATTAAAAGATAAAGGTTTTGAGAAGAACCGATGGTTAAGAAGTGAAAAAGCAAAAGTTTCAAGAAGAATAAGATTGAGAAGCAATTAACTAAAAGTTTAGAGAAGTGGAGATTGGATAAGGCTACACGAGTCTCGAGAAGAATTTAACAAAAAAAATTTAATTTTTATCTTATAAAAATATTTTTAGAAATGTTTATCCAATTAAACCTTAAATTACTGAAAGTTTTGACAAGAACAAATATTATACTTTTGATTTATATTTCTATGTTATGATTTAAAAAAATATATGATTGTTGTTTCAAAGAGTAAAATTCTTTTACATCAGATAAATTTTACCCAAGTCATAATCCAATTTTACTATTATCAACCATTATGCTATAACTCAGCAGTTACATATAATTATGCGTAACTTTTGAAAAGGAAAAATGAAAAGACAATCAAATAAGACATTAATTCTTCACCTAAAAAAAAATAAGCAAAATGAATCATTGGAAGAATTAATCAAATGATGAAAAAAATTATTTAAATATATTTTTCTTAATTTTTAATCTCACTTTTAAAATAAAAGTAAATTAAGGTAATTTTCTTATACATAAAGTATTTATTATTTTATCACTTCAAATTATCATTTAAAAATTGAGTTATGTTTCTAATATAAGATTGTTGACACCAAGCCCAAATTTACAGAAAGTCCTTAAATATAGACAATTTCAAATGCAATATGAAAAATATACTAATAAAAACTATTCAAAAGGTGTATTATGTGTTTGTTTATCTTGAACCGGAGATTTATACTTGTTTAATGACCATTATGAGCCTCAAAATTTGTAGACTTTTGTGGAGATTTATGAATTTTGTATTTTAATGCTCAATCATTCTAATTAATTGTTGAATTTTGTGTCAAATATAAATTTTGAATTGACTAATTGTTGACCTATTTTGCAAGTTGGGGGTACTCGAAATATATAGCATTACTCATTAACAAATTATTGAAAACGTATATTAGATCAGAGTAATTTCTCATAGAAATGTCAAAAGGGAACACTTAATCAGAATATTTTCTCGACAAAATATTGAGAGAGAATAATGATTCATCGACCTTGAACGTAAAAACTAAATTAAAACACTCTCTCGATAAAATGAGAAGAAGGTATACTTTTAATATGAGAGTAAATTAAGAGTGAAACTTTATTTTGAAAAAATGAGTAAAGCGTTATTGAAAAGGAAAAAGAAAAAAAAGAAGAGCAATAAAATCCACAGGGAAATGAGTGTCTGGGTGGCTGAGTCAACTAGCTGTTCTTTACTGTCTCCTGTGAAACCAAAAGTAGAATAAATTGTTTGGACCTTTTCCAAGTACTTATTATATCTAACAAAATTAAACCCTCTCACTCTCCAAACATGAGAGGAGGAGCTTCCTCTAACCTCTTCACTTTCTTTCTCTTCTGCCTCACTTCACTCGCTCTCTCCTCAGACACCTTAACACCATCCCAATCCCTCCCAACCAACCAAACCCTCCTCTCCCCAAACGCGATTTTCGAGCTTGGCTTCTTCTCCTACACCAACACCACCTGGTACCTAGGCATATGGTACAAAACCACCCACAACACAGACAAAACAATCGTCTGGGTCGCAAACCGCGACACCCCACTCCGCAACAACATCGGATTCCTCAAAATAGCCAACAAAGGAAACCTCGTCATCGTAAACCAATCCCAGAAACCCGTGTGGTCCACAAATGAAACCGGCGCCAGCGACCCAGTTCTCCAGCTTTTGGATTCGGGGAACCTGATCCTCAAAGAAGCAAACCAAAAGGACCCCACGAAACCCCTCTGGCAGAGCTTCGACCACCCCACAGACACGTTGCTACCGGGCATGAAACTAGGTTGGAACCTCGACACGGGCGTGGAGAAACACATGAGCTCGTGGAGGGTGACAAACGAGGACCCTTCAAGCGGCGATTTTTCCTTCAAGCTGGATTACCAGGGCCTGCCGGAAATCTTCCTCTGGAACAAAAACCAGAGAATCTACCGAAGCGGGCCCTGGAACGGCGAGAGATTCAGCGGGGTACCCGAGATGCAACCCGTAACGGACTCCATCAAGTTCACGTTTTTCGAGGACCAGCACCAGGTCTACTACACATTCTCCATCGGAAACCAGTCGCTATTTTCGAGACTCTCCGTTACCTCCGACGGGGAGCTTCAGCGGCTGACGTGGATAGAGAGCCGCCAGGCGTGGAACAAATTCTGGTACGCTCGGAAGGACCAATGCGACAGCTACCGAGAGTGTGGGCCCTACGGGATCTGCGACACCAACGCCTCGCCGGTCTGCCAGTGCGTGCGGGGGTTCCGGCCGCGCAACCAGCCCGCGTGGAATCTGCGGGATGGCTCCGACGGCTGCGTGCGGGACACGGCGCTCGCGTGCGGGGGCGACGGCTTCCTGCGGCTGAAGAACGTGAAGCTGCCGGAGACTACGACGGCGGTGGTGAACCGGAGCATGGGTTTGGCGGCGTGTGGGGAATTGTGCGGAGGGAACTGCTCGTGCACTGGTTATGCGAATGTTGATATCAGGAATGGAGGGAGTGGTTGCGTCATGTGGGTTGGGCAGCTATTGGACATCAGGAGATACCCTGCCGGTGGCCAGGATCTCTATGTCAGATTGGCGGCTAAGGATCTTGGTATGTCTCTTCTTTCGCAAATTATTACACTTTTTTTTATTCTAATCTTATAAATTATTTTTCTAATACATTCTCTCAAATTACCAATCATACAATAGTTTCTGAAAATAGAAAGGATCATGGGATATTCATATTGATAAAGTGTTTAAACCCTAAAGTATGCACCATAAAGACTAGAGAGGATATTCAAACGATCACCTGGCTATGAATTATGAAGACCGAAATATAACTCGTTTGACGCGCACACCTTACCTTTATTGTTGTGTTCAAATTAGTCCATGGGCCTGTAGTTGTTTAGCAGTACTTATCTGTCATGTTCACAAGGGGGAGTGTTCGGTTAGTAAGAGTAGAATAATGATAATGATAACTTTTGCAAAGAAAGTAACTTTCCAATGAAGTCACCTGAGGTGGGTGAAATATTAAAATGGAATATAAGATTTGAGTTGCAGTAATTGTGAAGTGTTGTTGTAAAAGACTTGTGGTCAAAGGAAAATTTAAATGAAATATTTTATGAGAACATGACAGCATGTGATACACGTTGGCTGATTTTGACTTTTGTCTTGGAAAATATTCGTACAAAGAAAAATATTTTAAGGTTAAATTGGAAATGAAATTGTAAGTTGTAACCTGCTGTACAAAAGTAAACTGTTTTTGCCCATATAGATAATTAATTAAACGAAAAATAATAATCAGAGAGCGAGAACTGTATGTCATTATGAAAAAAAGTGATAGTTAGAGAACATTGAAAGTGGACAAAGTAACAGGTTTTGGTTTTTGGAATTTAATGAGTTGGAAAGTTGAGATTGTGGATTACCTGGTGGTGGATTTAGGGTGTTGTCCTGCAAGTGCAATGGGAACTGAGTGAGACGTTGCAATGAGAATGTGAATGCAATGCGGTGGCAACAAAAACCCATGAGAGTCTTGCGTTGTCCGTAGCCTGTAGCTGCTCCACGTGCTCTTCAATGTTTCCGGTCCCATTCTTTTTAAATTTTATGATATTAAATATTTTGATGTATCATTTTAACGTCTGCTGTGGGAACAAATATTATCAGTTTTAGAAGAAATATTAATTTTATTAGTTGGTAACTTCCCCTTCCTATTGTGAATATTGAAGCATTCCCAAAATTGCAAATGTTTAGCAAGTGTGCATTATAGTAAATTCATTTTTACATAATTTATGGTTTACTTTATAAAATTTTCCGAACAATATAGAGTAATTTCATAAATGAGTTTATTTCATTTGTTTCTAGTGTTTTCTTATATGCATCTTAAAATGTAGTGTATGTTTATAACTTATTACCTTTAATAATTTAATAAAAATCCTTATTTAACTCCTCTTTTAACACTAAAATATTTATTTTAATTTTTAATAAATTTAAAATATTTGATCTTTAGATAAAAAAAATATTATAAACATTAACAAAAAATAGAATTATAATTAAATAAGATATGTTTATCCCTATATATAAATTAAAATAAAATTTTATAAAATATTATAAACATGTTATTATAAATTTTTCAACCAAATTAATAGTTGATTTCTATCAAACACTTCTAATTTAATAACTTAGTTTAGTAATTTTTACTTAAATTTGATTCTTCAACTTTAATTAACTTTCCAACTTTCGGTTATGAACATAACCAAAATTTACTAAATTCTGATGCACAAAGCTAAATATAAATAGAATTACACAGTCTGTAAATTTAACTCACCATGATTGTTTATTTTTTTCTCTTCAAAATCATTGTTGTCGTTGTTGCTAGTTAGATAATACCATTATTGTTGTTGTTAGTTTACTGTATGGTGAGATTAAGGTTATGATTATGATTGTTGATTGGGATGATATCACTGTTTAAAAATTGCTTTCACTTACAAAAAAGTAATTTCTAATTAACTAATATTGCATCAAAATTACACTGAAATTTAGTTTATTAATTACTACTAGTTTCCAAACTAACACGGATGAACTAACCTTTCTTCTCACAAACCAACACGGATGAACTACCTTCCAAACTTAAAAGAAAAAGGTTGATGACGAAAGCCAAACTTGGCATATATTGATGGTTGTTTGTTGATGAGAAAAATAAGTGCTTAACTGCATGACTAAGTGTGCCGCCCTAGCCTTGATTTGTTGCGTGAGTAAACGAAATTAAGTGCTTAATTAGAGGACTCAGCTAAAGTTTTGTGGGCCCACTCCAACTCCAAGTGTTTTCGTTCTCGTAATTTGTGTCCAGGACGGTGACGTGGACCCACCCTGTGATTTTGTTTTTGGTCCAATGGATCCGCTAAATTTAAAAGTTTGGCTTTGCATGGGTCGGACGTGGCCCAACCTTTTTGACTTGTAAGTTTTTATTGGCTCACACTTGTTGCTCCTGCTTTCTTCTAGTGCTCTTTGCACTTTACTCTCTTTTATATTTATATGTTTACTAAAAGATGATTTTGCATTTTTTTATGAAATCATTGTCCCATTCACAGTTATCGAAACTAAATTAAATAGTGATGCTCTATTTGGTCGCAATAGTTCCACTATATGTTTTAATAGTGACTACTCGAATTAAGCGCATGATCACCATTTTGCTCAAGTCAAATCTTATCTTATCAAGCATGAAATCCTATTGAAATTTGACAAAAGGAGGGGTTATTTAAGAGGGAATCAGAAAATATTAATGGCTGAGGAAAAATGTTTGAATCATCTTCCGAAGGGACCACGAAATTTTTAAGGATAGAGTTTTGGTGAATAAAATGGAGCCCACCACCTTCGGTGGTGGCAGCCAAAAGGAAAATTTGTATCTATTTTGGTGGGAGTAGGTGTCTTCAAAAAGTTGCACATTTTCCTCAAACGGGAGAGTCCAAATTCTACTATTACTACTATGAAAAAACAAAATCTTCGTCCACCTTTTTTTCCCTTCTTAGCCTTTTTGTGACTATTTTTTAATCTATGATTAAAATATAACAGTTGGTTTGATTTTACAAGGACAACAAAGGAAAAAGCAGAATCATTTTGAAAATAATTGGTTTCCTTCTCTAGCTTCTTTAACAAATATCATATTGTTAATCGACACACATCCCTTTTGTTGCATAAATTCCATGCAAGCAGCATGAATGTGTTCCCTTGCACTTAAAACTAATGATAGCAGTTTTTTCCTTTTTAACGAGCTTATTTGTTTGTTTAAAATTGGTTACTGGAAGCTTGACATGCCTTTATGTCTGCACTATTCTACTTCAAATGTAAAGTGGATATATCTTAACTAAAAAACTATTTCTCAGGTGACTTGGGGGTTGAAGGTGGTTCTCACAAGACAAGCGATACAGTTAAGAAAGTAGGCATCATAGTTGGTGTTGCAGCTTTTATACTATTGGCATGTTGCATCTATATCTTGTGGAAGAAGAGGAAATTGCAATGTATATTGAAAGGGAAGACAGAACATAGAGGTAATGCACAATTAGTGTCCCGCGTATGAATGCACATAGTATGTATGTGCAACCAACAACCATGCAATATGAATTATGATGAAATGTTTTACTTGTTCCAAAACCAGGTTTTTCGGAAAGAAGTCAGGATTTGTTAATGAATGAGAGAGTGTTTTCAAGTACCAGAGAACAGTCTCGTGAAAATAACCTGGACGACCTAGAGTTGCCATTTTTTGATTTTAACACCATAACAATGGCTACAAACAACTTCTCTGAAGAAAATAAACTTGGACAAGGAGGCTTTGGTATTGTTTATAAAGTAAGTTGTTTTTATAGCTTCTGCTGCCACCTAAAACTCACTTATCATTAACACAACTGGAATAATTGTGGTTATACTTATACCAGGGCAGGTTGATGGAAGGACAAGACATTGCTGTGAAGAGATTATCAAAAACTTCTGGGCAAGGTATTGAAGAATTTAAGAATGAGGTCAAGTTAATTGTGAAGCTTCAACATCGAAATCTTGTCCGGCTGCTTGGTTGCAGCATTCAGGTGGATGAAAAGATGTTGGTGTATGAGTACATGGAAAATAGAAGCCTCGATGCCATTTTGTTTGGTGAGTTATTTCAACATTCTGATTCTTAAGCTTTGTTTCTGTTTTCTTTTCACGTGTTTGGTATTGACAATAACCATGATGCAGACAAAGCAAAAAGATCCTCACTGGACTGGCATAGGCGCTTCAACATTATATGTGGAATAGCTAGAGGGCTTCTTTATTTGCACCAAGATTCCAGATTTAGGATCATCCACAGGGATCTCAAGGCAAGCAACATTCTACTTGACAAAGAGATGAATCCAAAGATATCAGACTTTGGTATGGCTAGAATTTTTGGCACAGATCAGACAGAAGCAAATACTGTGAGAGTTGTTGGAACATAGTGAGTCCACTAACATGTCACCATGAGAAACTATTACATGGTCCTAGAATATCACATGTCTATAGTCTCAACTAATCATCATGTGACATAACAAAATTTTCAAATTACAAAAAACAATTAATAAGACTTATTGCATGTCACAAAAACTTGATTACATGTCACGTGGAGATCGATGATAACTACGACATGTAATGATTCTTTTACCAAACACTATTACTCTCCAAAATAAGACCCAACGTAGGGATATCTACAATCTATAAATATGTTTTCTTATATGCAGTGGTTATATGTCGCCTGAATATGCCATGGATGGGATCTTCTCAATAAAATCTGACGTTTTTAGCTTCGGGGTGCTTGTGCTGGAGATCATAAGTGGAAAGAAGAATAGAGGATTCTATTACGCAAACAAAGAATTGAATCTTCTAGGGCATGTATGTGGAATCATTATTTTTTACTCTTTCATTAGTATGCTACTTGGTTAAATATAATGTCCTGTTTGCTAGCAAATAACTTGATTGTGCTTTGTTTCTTGTAGGCGTGGAGGGTGTGGAAAGAAGGAAATGCGTTGGAACTGATTGATTCGTCTATTGACAATTCATATTCACCATCTGAAGTTCATAGGTGCATACAGGTGGGGCTGTTGTGCGTGCAAGAGCGTGCAGAAGATAGGCCAACCATGTCTTCAGTGGTCTTGATGCTGAGTAGTGATACTGCATCAATGCCAGAACCCAAAAACCCAGGGTTTTGTCTAGGAAGGAATCCTTTGGAAACTGATTCTTCTTCAAGTAAACAAGATGAATCATGCACTGTGAACCATGTCACTGTCACAATGCTAGATGCCAGGTAGTGAAACAAGTATGATCTCATCTAGCTACAAAATCAGTATATTCACAAAAATTCTTTGAGATATAGTATGATCTCTTTTTTTTGGGTGTAATATAGTAGAGATGCCTTCGTTAAAGTGTACTATACAGTTTAAGATATTTTTTTGTTAGACATTCGGATCCGGTTTCATTATGTACTTACAGGGCTTATTTATTTTATTTATTCTAAGAGTACTTTAACTATCTTGCATTTACAAATAAACATTCTAAACTTTTAATTCTATCCTAATTGGTCGAAAAATTTTATCTTGTCAGTAAATAGATTTATGAATTTTAATTTTGTTATAATTGTTCATTAAACTTTACTCTTTTCAAAACAACTTAAATTCAATTACATCTTTATTAATTTATAATTTATCTCTAATGTGACATTGAAATTAAACTATTAAGATGGAGAAAAGCTCAATTTATTTATTTATTTTAAATTTAGAAATTACATTGGGATTAAACTTTGAATTTAAATTCAAGGTAGTATATAGTACGATAGCTTTTTGACAGCCTACAGCTACAGTTTAGCTTTAGATTAATTCCTAAAGTCTAAAAAAGACGAAACAAAAATGAAAGAAGTAACATCAATGCCTACTCTTATTAACAAGATTTATAGTTCATGTTTATACAAAAATCTGCTTAGATTAGAGCAGTGTAGCTATTCAACAAGAAGTTAAACGCAGGGAACCTCGATCCCGCATTACCCTTGATTTTTACATCATTATTCCAAATTGTATAATACATGAATTATCATATACAATATTTTGGCAGTATTTATTGTTCGATTTATGACACTAACTCCATACAATAGCATACAGGGTTTTCCACATATTCCAAGAACCTTTGCCTTCAGCGAGCATCAATCATAGTGATACTTACATCATTAACTGAATAAAGTCCTTCACTGGTTGATGGATTTGAACTCTCATAATTAGTTTTCTTGAAAATAAAAGCCGGTTGTTTTGGAGCAGGAAGAGTTGAGTCATTACCCAACATGAAAACAACTGCTGACATAGATGGTCTGTCAACGGCATAATCTTGCACACATAAAAGCCCAATTTGGATGCATCTTTGAACTTCTTGGTCACAGCATGAGTCTCCTAAGAATTCATCAACAATCTCCATGGTTTTGCCTTCTCTCCATAGATCCCATATCTACATTAATTCCAAGTTACCAAGTTAATTGGACTATTAAGAGGTATCTTTAAAATGGACCATTGTTCTCAAAAATACTAACATGTCCAACTAAATTTGTGGCTGTAATGTCTTCGTATTGACCACTATTCTTTCTGCCTGTGATGATCTCTAGAAGTAAAACTCCGAAGCTGTATACATCAGACTTTATCGAAAATTGTCCTTCCATGGCATATTCTGGTGACATATAGCCACTACAAAAGCAAAACAAAAATGATATCATTAAAATCTTAATTTTAGTAATCATGTGAAATTAGGAGATAGGTAAATTCTAGGAATGAACTATTTGCTAATATACCGTCTAAATAGCTTTAAAATTGGTGTAGGAATCTAAGTAACATATAATGCAATGAACCTAATTAATGTTGTGCGTGTTATTGAGTACTTACTATGTTCCAACAACACGATTTGTGTTTGCTTCAACTTGGTCTCCACCAAATATTCTTGCCATCCCAAAATCTGCAATTTTGGGATTCAATGAAGAGTCCAGCAAGACATTGCTGGCTTTTAGGTCTCTATGAATGATTCTCAATCGTGAATCTTGATGAAGGTACAAGATCCCTCTAGCAATCCCACAGATGATATCAAATCGTTTACTCCAGTCTAGTTGAGACCTTTTAGCTTCATCTGGACCAAAAATTCAAGGTATCAAGAGTGAAGCATGCTGGATCAGTTCTGTTACTTGATGCATGAAGATGTCACTAAAAATTGTTAGGCATTGACAAAACTACGTCCAATGTGAGAACTCGAGCACAAAACAGCAAAGGTGGAAACAAGACGTACCAAAAATTAAAGAGTCCAAACTTTTGTTAGGCAAATACTCATAGATTAACATCTTCTCCTGTCCTTGAATGCAGCAACCTAAGATCCTCACAAGATTTCTGTGTTGGAGCTTTGAGATCAAAACAACCTCATTTTTAAACTCTTCTATGCCTTGTCCAGAGTACTTTGACAGTCTCTTCACTGCTATTTCCAATCCATTACTCAACAGACCCTAAAGTCATCATCCAAAGTTAAAATAGTTTGCCTTGGCCATTATTACAATACACATTACTTGGAAAATTATGTAATTAATTAAAGTGATGTGTAACTTTTAGAGGTGACATTGGCACCACCGGGCATTAAAAAAGTGCAAATTGTTGTTGAATTTGTGAGTTGTTAAGAAGAATGGATACCTTATAAACAGAACCAAAACCTCCTTGGCCAAGCTTGTTAGCATCAGAGAAATTGTCTGTTGCAGCAGCTATGGAGTTAAGATCAAAGAATGGTAAATCTGAATTTTTTGTAGATTCAAATTCTTGTAGATCGGTAGAGTCCTCAAAGCTAAGACGGAAGGAGTACTTGCGGTCCCTTCTTATCCCTATCATCAAACAAGGAAACAAACACATTAAAACAAGTTGTTAGAATTTAGAACCCCTAGTTTGATAAAAAGTAATTTAACTTGCCTTGTTTCCTGGCTTTTATAAACCAATACACGAAAATAATCCCCAAAAACAATATGAAGAAAGTAGCAATGGATAAAACTGCCACCATTCCCTTCTTGCCTAGAGAACCATACGGATGTTTTTCATATTTAGCTGCAAAATGCAAATGCAAAGATATTATAAGTAGAAGAAATAATGATAAACAAATCAAGCAAATACTAAAATTAATACTTGAAGACCAAAAAAAAGTGAGTTTCTTTTTGTATATAACAAATATCAATAAAAATTACAATTACGAGAAGGTTGAGAATAATTTTTTGGTGAAAAGAAAGAAAAAATGTATTTGCCTAAGCTTTAAACACATTCTTCTCTTTCTTGTGGAAAACTGTATCTTAAACTTGTACCTAAACTGGTACATCTATATATAAGATAAAGTAGCCGGTGAGCCTTGCCTTAATCTTATTCTAAGTGAAAAGGTGAAAGTCTAAAAAAGAATACTTAGTGTTAAAAAGAATATTTGTTGTGTAATGTAATAAAGAATACTTGATGTTGGAGTTTAAGAAAGTTTGGTGTAAACAATACTTGTAACTTGTTGTAAAAATTTGAGCATACTCTCAAGTTAGAGATAAAACAATATAAAACACTTCATATGAGTTTTTTTAATCTTTATTCATATATTTCTTTTATATTTATATTTATACTTATACTAGTATTTTAGTTTATTAAATGTGTAGGATAATTTTAATTTTGGAGCATAAAAGTTTATATACCGTATGGGGGCCGACCTGGCCGAATACCCGACCACTAGAATACTTGGGCCGAACACCCGACCCCTCGAACACTTGGGCCGAACACCCGACCCCTCGAACACTTGGGCCGAATACCCTCAAACACTTGGCCGAATACCCTAACATACCGATCACCCGAGAATCGAACGGAGTACGTCGGTATGCTCGGCCAAAACCATGTGCCGGCTCCAAGATGATTTCAAAGAGCTTAATTAACGTAATGCATTGGATTAGCCCCCTAATTTCCTAACAATCGACAACGACTCACCCGATTCCTAACCCCGAAAGCAACCCCGTCATGACCAACCAAGAGCGCTACCCGTACGGGATGCCTCAGACCCAACCGGAACCTGTGATACAGCAAGTCCAGCCGAACACCAGTCAAACTCAACCGAACTTTCAAGACGACTTGCGAGCACTTCGCGAGGAAATGGCGGCCATCCAAAGGAAAAGAGAAGCCGACGCCCGAGAGCTGGCCGAGCTACGCCAGCAAAATGCCGAGCTCCGGCATCTGAACCAAACATACGTGCCGTCCACTCCTACGCTCGTGGAAGAGTCCGCCTATCACGCCCCAACAGACCAGGTCACCCGAACCCCAGTCACTTCTTTGATAGCCAACAAGGCCGACACCACCGTTCACTCCCTAAGGCATCCTTTTTCCAGAAGAATAATGGAGGCAACACTGCTGGACCATTGGAAGAGCATGCCGATCGAGAAGTACGACGGATCATCCGACCCAGAAGAGCACTTGAATGTTTTCTTGACTCAAGCAACTCTCTCCACTCAAGACGACTCGGCTTTGTGCAGAATATTCCCTACGTCTCTGAAAGGAAGGGCCCTGGTTTGGTTCACAAGGTTACCGAGCTCTTCCATTGACTCGTTCAACGAACTGTCGTCTCAATTCACTCTCCAGTTCGCAACGAGCAAGCCGTACAGGACGACCTCACTAGCCTTAGCAGGGGTTCATCAGGAGAAAAAAGAGAGTCTGAGGACTTTCATGGACCGGTTTAATAAAATCGCTATGGAAATCGGCGACCTCAACCCTGCCGTGGCAATGGACCGGCTGAGCACTGCACTCAGGCCCGAACCCTTCGTAAACAGTTTGTGCAAAAAACCGTCGGTGGATATGAATGACCTCCGACGCCGAGCAGAAAAATACATGCAAATGGAGGAGTTGGCGAAGACCCGGAATCAGGCCAGAGCCGAGGAGGGTTATAGCCGAAAGGAGCCCGGACGAGAACCAGTGAGGAAGACCAACGCCGAGAGACCCAGAATCAGGCCAGAGCCGAGGAGGGTTATAGCCGAGAGGACCCCGCTATACAGCGTATACTCCCCTCAATGCAAGCAGGGCCAAAGTAATGGAGCAGGCTCTTGCGTCAGAAATCCTGGCGATGCCGAAAAGAGCGAACACGCCCCCTAGAGCCGACAAGGCAAAGAATTGTCGATTCCACCGAAACAGGGGGCACTCCACCGAAGAGTGTTCGGCATTGAAGGACAAGATCGAGGACCTCATCAAACAGGGTCACCTCAAAAGTTTTACCACCTCCCAAGATCACGGGTCAACGGAAAGAGAGCATTTTCGTGAAACTCGTCCACCGAGGGACCGACGTCGCCGATCCCGTTCGGCTGAAAGCCGAGACCGATCACAGCGTCCCAGGGAGGACAACGACCGAACACGGAAGGTGATCAATACAATAGCCGGGGGCGTTGCCGGAGGCGACTCCTCCTCTTCAGCACGAAAGCGACACCTCCGAGCTATCCGATCAGTGAATAATGTGAACCAGCCAAGAATGCCAAAGATGCCACCCATCACTTTTACTGACCGAGATTTTCGTGGCGCCGACCCTGTACAAGACGATCCCATGGTAATTTCGGTCGAAATGCATAACTACATCGTGAAGAAGACGTTGGTCGATCAGGGGAGCTCGACCGACATCTTATATTGGAACACTGAAAGTCCTCAGACTCTCTTTTTTCTCCTGATGAACCCCTGCTAAGGCTAGTGAGGTCGTCCTGTACGGCTTGCTCGTTGCGAACTGGAGAGTGAATTGAGACGACAGTTCGTTGAACGAGTCAATGGAAGAGCTCGGTAACCTTGTGAACCAAACCAGGGCCCTTCCTTTCAGAGACGTAGGGAATATTCTGCACAAAGCCGAGTCGTCTTGAGTGGAGAGAGTTGCTTGAGTCAAGAAAACATTCAAGTGCTCTTCTGGGTCGGATGATCCGTCGTACTTCTCGATCGGCATGCTCTTCCAATGGTCCAGCAGTGTTGCCTCCATTATTCTTCTGGAAAAAGGATGCCTTAGGGAGTGAACGGTGGTGTCGGCCTTGTTGGCTATCAAAGAAGTGACTGGGGTTCGGGTGACCTGGTCTGTTGGGGCGTGATAGGCGGACTCTTCCACGAGCGTAGGAGTGGACGGCACGTATGTTTGGTTCAGATGCCGGAGCTCGGCGTTTTGCCGGCGTAGCTCGGCCAGCTCTCGGGCGTCGGCTTCTCTTTGCCTTTGGATGGCCGCCATTTCCTCGCGAAGTGCTCGCAAGTCGTCTTGAAAGTTCGGTTGAGTTTGACTGGTGTTCGGCTGGACTTGCTGTATCACAGGTTCCGGTTGGGTCTGAGGCATCCCGTACGGGTAGCGCTCTTGGTTGGTCATGACGGGGTTGCTTTCGGGGTTAGGAATCGGGTGAGTCGTTGTCGATTGTCCTTTGCGCGTTGTTACCATATCTCGGTCTCAGTCGTAGAGTAAAAAGGGGCTGAAAACGTCT